ATGTATGTATGTATGTATGTATGTATTTATATGCATATGCATATAGTATATACATATGTGTATATAAATGTATAGGTTTATACCCATAGACATATACAAGCATACGTATATACGTGTATACATATATACACGAGGAGGCTTCAATTTTCATGTAATGTAATACTTGCAATTTTCTAAAAGCTTGCTAGTGATTTGTAAATAGCAAGTAATGATAAAAAAAGAAAATCTAATAATCTCAATTGGACTTAGGCTACTGTCCCATAGGCATTGGAACTGTGGATGTAAATATTAAAGTTTGGATGCTAGATATGAACATACATAAGAATTGTGTGGTACATATGATCTAAACACAACATTTAAAATGTAAAGGGGCAGAGAAGAAGAACTAGCCATGCAAAGTAGCCAAGAGTTGAAGCTAGAAGAAATGTCCTGCTAATGTTGTTAAATCTGGGTTGGGAAGCAGATATGTTAGTTTCCAGTGAGCTTGGTGAAGGGGGAAGTATGCGTTGTAGAAGATGATTTTAGGTAAGGGTTTCGAGCAGGATAGGGGAAGGATGAGATGGCATCATAGCAGAGTGCGCAATACTATTTTGGAGCCGTGATACGTAAATTTTATTATTTAGGAGCCTCCATACGTAAAGCAACTTATTTTAAAAATATATTTATAAATTAATTACTTTATTTTCAAATTAAAAAGAACTTTTTTTTGGTTAAAATTTTCTTTCAATGTGAATATCACGGTAATATTTGAATCTATTTAATTTTGAAGTTGATAAATACAAATACAATGTACACTTGCAAATCATATTTATTGTGAATAATTTAGCATTAATTTTCATGAATTCTTGGATGAGATTAGCTAATAGTTTTGTTCCTAGATATTACAGAGAGTACGAGTTAAATTTTAGCATAACTAATCATTTTGGAATCAAACCTAGGCCAGACTATTATATATATACATGCTATTTGCTAACTTTTAAGACAAAAAAAAAAAAAGACAATTCTGCAATTTCTTATAAAAAAAAGATTACATTTTTAATTATACCTTTAGAAGAAAAGCTCTGAAACACAGAAGTCCCAGAACAGCTATTTCCCGATAAACTCGACCCAGAACCACCTGCCAATCACCGGCAACAACTCGATCCATTTCCATCGTCAAATCCCAATTCAAACTATTTTCAACACCATCCGATGAGCATGGAACCCAGCAAGGCACCATACAAGCATAGCAATAGCCATTAGTCTGCTGAAAAATAGCTGGCATCATCCGTAAACCATTGCAACAATTTCTTATAAATTTATTATTTTCTCTTTAAAATTGTAGGCACACCATAGCAAACAACTGATGCCCCTATTATAGTAGGAAGTTTGCAAGCACTCCTCGCCTCACTAATAAATGAAGCAACTCTCAATTTGGCTTCACAAAACCTGCAAGTCTCCTCAACAATCTCTGCATATTTCAAAAAATTTCTTCTTGATGGGAACTTCGATTTTCCGGCATTAGAAGTTTCTGCCAAATCGATACATTTGTTGCATTTATGAAGAATGGAGTCTTGAGTCCAAGAGTTGAGTATGGCCTTCGCGAAACGGTCAATATCTTTATCGGATACCTCCCATAAATTTGCAATAATTGCAGGGGAGCCTGCAAATAAGTAGTGAAGGGGAGCACCTTGAGGCGCATAGCAACCTCTCTGTCTAAGAGATCCACTGCTACAACCCATGAGGAAAGCAGCAGCACAACTACTAAGTTTTCCAAAAGAATCCGCACGTATATATTGCATTCCTGTGGCATTAAAAAAGAGGGGAAGATTTACATACATACCACTCAATGCTCGATGTAGTTACATATCTAACAACTATTTTTTTACATGCATGCCACCTTATTTGTGATTGAAGACGTATATTTCATTTTTTTAAAGTTAAAATGGTGTATTGTTTATGAGATATGAAAGAGTTGATTGGTATAAAGATAAGAAAGTGAAGTATAGGTGTTAAATATGTAAATAAATAGGAATTTGATGCTATATAGGTAAATGTTGTGAAGAAAAAAAGAAAGATTTACATACATAACACTCAATTCCTATGTATTTACATGTCTAACACCTCAACTTTGATTTTTTACATTCATGTCACCTCATCCATGCAAGAAAATGTGTATTTTACATTTTAAAAGCTAAAATGGCTGTAATTTTTATTTAGTATGAATTAAGTGTTAAATATGTAATGCATAGGAATTAGGTGCTTTGAAACTATTAAACGACCGCGGCACAATTACGAAATAATAATTGGATTAAGACAAACTTACCACTTCCATGACCAAAATACAAGTATAGGTCATGATTTTGTAAAGCTAGCAATAGTTCCTCACTTGTTGGAGCATTTCCTGCTTTGCCCTGCACAATAATAAAAAACTACTTGTTAATGCAAAGAGTTTCATATAGGAATTAGGTGGTATGGAAGTTAATGCCTAGAAAAAAAGAAATTGCTTTGAATGTATTCAAACAGAGTGTTACCTCCCACTTATGATTTTGAAACCATTCTTCAAATTGTTGCTGTGTATGAATGAGATCGCCACTAGGATTAAGCAAATAATATGCACGAAAAGGGTCTATGCATGGAAGATTAACTTCAAATGTGCTCTTTTCACGGGCATGATAGTTCAGTTTTAGTAGAATGCTGCCTAAGGAAGGCATGCGATAAACCTCCTGCTTTCTCAATATTGGCATGTTCTCCCATGAGATCATCTGCAGTCATGCAAACATGGTTTAAGATAGCTCTCAAGTGCAAAAACTACTTTATTCTAAAGAAAATTTCCCTTGAAATCTAAAATGAAGGTTGTTCAAGTAGTGGACAAGGTTAGGATGAACAACAAAAGTCATCCGACATATTTAAACAAATGTTAAATTAATTCCGAGAATTTTTTAACAGAGGCTAAAATAATCCTCACCGGGATTATTTAAACTACTATTAAAAGACTTTTAGGACTAAATTGACATTTTTATTGGGAAGAATTTACATGCATATGACCTAAATCCTATGCATTTACATATCTATCAACTAAACTTTTTTTTTTACATTTATACCACCCAAATCTCTTATATCACATCAAAAATACAACCATTTTAACATTTAAAAAGTGAAACATTTTCATACATAGGAAATGTGGCATGTATGTAAAAATTGAAGTTTAGGTGTTGATATGTAAATACATAAGAATTGACTAGTTTATATGTAAATATTCTTTTAATTAACACTGTGACTAAAATGACCTCATGCAAAGAACCAAGGGATCATTTTAACAATTTTCTCCAAATAGAAGTGTTCAATAGAAGGTTTAATATCAAACCAAAATCTTTATTCGCCATCAAATGAAAGTGATTACCTGCACATCAGAATCTAAGACGAGAATAATTGGTTGCCTATCAACCTTCATGCCTTCACCCATTGCTTCTGAAATCAAACTCTCAATAGATGTGAGGATTGACTTAACTTCTTTACTACGGTCAACAAATGCCCTGAACCTTTGCTCCCCACAACATCCTCCCCTACCAAAGAATCCTTTATAAAACAGTGACTGAGCAATGCAGGCTTCAACAGCAAAGACAGATTGAGCACCACTGAGTATAACTTTGATGAGATTATCATTGAATATAAAATCACATTGGGAATTCAGAGAATTTGACAGTCTCCCAGCAAAAATTTCAAGAGATTTGGTATCCACTCTCTCACCCAAAAGCAAGCACCCCCATGGTCCTATCCATTTATCTTCCATTGCTCTGCATCAAAACAGGAGAAAAAGAAGTCAAAAAGCCAATAAATAACAATATGTGCGTCAATTTAGATTTGAATAACATAAACCAATAAATTAGGGCTTATTTGAGATCATTTTTTTTTCTTCTTTTCAGTTTATAAAAATTTTTATTTAGTGTGTTTTTCTAAATATTTTTAGTTATTATTTTTAAAAAAATAAATTAACATTTGAATCAACTAGAGAAATATGTTTTGTTTCAAATCAAAACATAAACAAACCAAAACAAAAAAAAGAAGAAACAGCCTTCAATTTTGAAAGTAGGAAGTTGGTTAAGCATACTTCAATAAATTATTTAGTTGATTGTCAAGAATCATTCTACCAGACCACCACTTGATGTAGTTAAGACGGGCCTCAGCTTCATTAAGGACATGATTAGATAGAGACGAGAAATTTGCTTCTAAAATAAGCTTGTACGAGGGAGCCACATCGTCAATCACAGCACTACTCCAAGGACACGGCCAGTCAGAGACCACATTTTCACGTATGAACTCCTTGCATGGACTAGACTTGGGTTGAAATTCTGACAGCAGTTAAAACACGAATTTATTAGCATATAATAGTAAGGGATATTGCATTTTGGAAGATTTGCATCCATAAGAGCCAATTCATATGTATTTGCATATTTAACACCTATACTTTAATTTCTACATACATACCACTTATGCATGAAAATGTGTGTTTCAATTTTCAAAGGTTAAAACAACATTATTTTTTGTGATATGAAATATTTGGGTAGAATAAATGTAAAAAAATAAAGTTTTACATGTTAGATATGTAAATACATATGAATTGGGCGGTATGTATCCAAATGCTTATAATTTCTACCATTTCATTTTATGCTTAGTAAACACATATACCTTCTGAAATTGAATCAACAGGCAACAGCATAATAATCGGTTGTTTGTTCCCATCAAACCGTGTGATAAGCAACCATGCCGGAAAAAAGGAAGGTAGAATCAACATTTCCCCGAGCAGGTTTACATAATCACCATCAAGCAAGCTAATGCAAATAATTGAAATTCTAGGGAGGCCAAGGAAAAAGTCCTCAACGAATTCTCCAAGATTTTCAAGTTTTTCTGGTGCATATCTGAAATAAAATAAGCAAACTATAGTCGCTAATATTCAATTAGATCCTAAAAACGTGAAATTAAGAGGTATAATTTAAACAGAAAAAAACCTTGAGATGTAATTTACATTTGTCTCTGATTCCAATACATTCTCGCTTTCTAGGCCCTGCAAAGAGCCAAAAAACAGAAGAAATACAAGATTTAGAGAGTTATATTCCTGCCAAAAAAAACCAAACTAGAATGAGAAAGATGAAAAAAATCGAACAATATGTTAAATAAGTTTTTTCTGCAGACCAAGGAGGTCAGAACTAAAGCATCAGCCAAGTAATTTTTTCAATACAATTAAAACTCGTCACACATCTAACTTGTAATGGAAGTTCTGAAAAAAAAAGGGATAATTACATACCGACTACCAAAAACATTGCTATTTACAAATCAAACATCTAGGTAATTTTTTAAATTATGAAACCGATACATTTACGCCTGCCACGATCAAATCATTGTGAATTTAAAAAAATGAAAAATATGGATTGGATTTTTATCACGACCTTTGATATTTGAGTGAGAATTTGAAAAATGAATGAAAGAGGGTGCTTGGCTACCCTGTATGTATTCGTCCCATAAAAAATTACACAATAAATCTAAAATAAATAGAAGAAATGACAGATTAAGAAACTTGAATTCTTTCCACAAAAAAAAAGTCAATCTAGAATAAGAATCATGAAAAACGGGACAATAAGTTGCCCAAATAAATTAATTCTACAAAACAAAAGAGAATAACCTATAGCATGTGTTACATAATCTCATCAAGACATTTAGTTAAAACTCACCACAATTCTAAATTGGATAGGAGTTGTTAGGAAAAAAAAGTAAAAAATAAGTTTAACACCTCATGCAACAGTAAGAATAAAAAAATAGAGAATGAGGATGGCTAAAGCCAACGACAAATAATTAAGGATGACACTAAGGATGATGAGAAAAAGAAATATAAGGAAAGAGACAAAATACTTTTGGATGGCAAATTGAGTAAAAGATGTGGTCAATGTACTATTAGATCACTTTACAATTCTACCTACAAGAAAACAAGCAACACATGCTTTGTCAGAGAAGTGTCGGACAAGTGTCGGTGCCTTATACGAGTTTGACACGAGTACAACACATTTTTAGAAGTGTTGGTATACATTGTCTCGAAACCAAAAAAACAAATTATTCATTAGCCTAATTTTATAAAAATTGCTTTATATTGAATGTGTCAATGACACCCACTATTATCGATGAAATTATTGCATTTTATACAATCCCCGATTTCAAATAATTTCAAAAAAAATTTAATATTCAAATCTTATAAATGTTTCATAATGTGATTCATAATAAAATACAAAAATATATATTTTTAAATGACTTGTACTAACTTGATACGCGTAATTAATTGTGATTGATATAGGTAAAGCTTATAATAATAATGCTACAAATTAAAAAAAAAAATCTATGAAAGGATGAGTAAGGCATGATTGTGATTTACCGAAAGAGGTAAGCATCAATAAGGGCTAAAAAGTTGATACAAATAGTCCAGCCTTGAATGCAGAGCAATGATAAATGGTTAGCCAACGGGCTAGGTGACGACTTGATATTATGAATGTGTCAAGATTTATAAGAATCACATAACATTTTTCGAGCTATGAACAACTAAGAACGACAAAAAAGTAACTAATGCCTTAAATACTTGACATTCAAGTAAAATATTATATCTCTTTGCAAGAGGTATATTTATCGCTTAAGATAGTCATTTATTTAATGTGAGATAAGAGTTTGATTTACCTTAATGCACATAATATTCATTTTTATAATTAAAGACGCCCATGTTAATACGTAAGACTAACATGCTTGTCATTACTCTCTATTTTTTTATATTTTACATATTCTAGTAAAATTTGTTTATCCCATTGATTATTTAACTCATTCGACACTTAGTCGACTATTATAAAAGCAGGAGAATGTACATATTGGACTATAGTAAAATAATAAGGTGGTCATTTATGTATTATGTAAAGGAAGAATTGAATGAAAAAAGTATATTAATGATATGGATTATAAAGTATGATTTCATATGCATAATTGACCGTAATGAAATTCTTATAGTATTAGCTAGCTATGAAATGCTAAGAAACATGTGCATATAAACGAAAAAGGTAATTGATCGTTGGACCGTTTCTTCTTAACTTTGAAAATTTAGATTAATATCGTGTGATTGTCTATTCTAAACTTGAAAATTTCCATGTCTTGGACCAGGATGTGATAAAACATGTCTTTAGAAATCAATGTAAATGATTTCATTTTATATTTAAGCTTTAACACAGTGGGTGAAATCATGCACCCTAAGTTGATTCTCAATTGAAAAAACTTGATGGTAGCAAATGACGGTAGATGATTTTATGAAGAATTAAAATCATGCAATCTATTGTACCCCTTGTTGATAATTTTGTGCACAATTGTTCTTTGGCCACATAATTTGTTTATTTAAGATGAAGGCAAAAAATAACAAAACATCAAAAGGACGATAATTGTCAAATACTGCTTTTTTAATCAAAACAAACTAAGTTTGTCTCCTACATGCTGCTTAAACTTTAACAGAATAAATTTGAAGAACAAGAAAATAAAAAATGCAATAAACTATATAAACCTAAGCCTATCATCTAATTCTATTCCACCTATCATCTTGTTCTATAAACGAGCATGGCTAGAAAATTTTCAAAAATAAACAAACATTTGATTAAAAGCCAAATTGGTGATTTATGATTCTTATGCACACTAAATTTAAATGGACAATCTAGTGTATTCTTAATTACGCACCTTATAAGTCTTGAAATTGCATGCCTTATCTCGAAGATGAGAAAGATATTGATAGTTCACAATTGAGCCAATAGAAGCTTGATGAAAAAATGCAGCCCAATGGCTTAAAGAAAGTGAACCTTGTGAGCAAAGAGGTGGAGGAATGGAGCCCTCTACAGTTAATAGTAAGATAAGTGACGCAATGAGCCGAGACACCTGTGCTAGAGAAAATAAATTCTTTGCGATACATAATATAGAAAAACCAAAAGTTGGCAATCCTAGGGAGAGATATATAGGACATGGTTGAGGAAAAGATATATATTTTTCCAAAATTGACAACGACATCAATATATTTTCACTAACCTTTTGAAAAAGTGACGGGATCTGTCGACATAGTATGAAGGCCATTAATAACCATGAAATGATGTCTTGCATATGTACATTTGAGAGTGAACAGCATTTGGTACTGGAAAACATAAGTGATAAAAGTAAGCTTCATGAATAACAAAAAATGGGAATCAAATTTGTAGCAAACAGAACAAAAAACAACTTAAATAATCACCTCATGTGCTCGGGATGAAAATCTTTCAAAAAGAACCAGCTCATATTGTACAGTAAAGCAGCACGTTCAACAGAAAAAATGTCCCCTATATTATTGTCCCCCATTAATTTGAACAAATTTAAATCACAACCATGGAAATTAGCATCAAAGCAAGGCTCTCCATCAAACAACACAAAGATGCATTGCCAAAATACACGATGTACTTCATGTGCATCCTGTTTTTCACAAGGTGCCTCCAGAGATTTTGCTAAATAAAAAAACAGAAAGGAATAAACAGTGAGATAAATACGCAAAAGAAAAAACAGCTCACCTTGCCAAGGCATTTTCATGAGAAAAATACTTACCAATTTTCAGTAAAAGCCTTAATAAAAGACGCCTTCGCTGACATTGCCATTTAAAATGAATGAAATTCTCCATGGTTCCCTCTTTTATCATCTTAAGGCAAAGACATCTCAAACATTCAACTTTAGTAAAAACTCCACCATCGAATGGACAAGTACCATCCTCTTTAATTTGCGAATTTCTATGACTAAATATATCAGCGTCTAGAGTCCCATAAAGTGCACTACTATAATTCTCACTTTGTGCAGAAATACTGGTATTTTTGTCATGAAAAGATCGATTTCTTGAACTTCTCTGGGGTTTCAATTTATTATTATGACTAGCCACCTTTGCAGGCTGCTTCAACCCTTTTCTAGACGGTTTTTTTAGGGCCCTTTGCGTATGTGACTCTCCACATTCTGCACCATGTGACACCACAGTTAATATTGTTGAGCTCTGTTGCTCAACTTTCAGAGAATCAAAACTATTTTCTAAACAAGAACAAATGTGACAAGGAAGTAATTTCTTATCACTCTCCAATGGATGTGATTTAGCGTTGTTTGTGACATGTCTGGTGTCTTCAAGCTGGAATTTGCTTAGAGATTCACAAATACTAAATTGTTTCCAGGAACCAATAAATGAACCTTCCACATTATCATTACTTAGTTTTCTAAAAGCTGATCTATATATATCAAGAGCATTAGACTGGACATGGGAACCCTTATTCAAGCGTTCCGTCGATAAATCTGCAATTTGCATATCAATTTTAACTTCAAAAATTAACTTGCAATGCCTGCAAGAAATCATGATGTCATTTTCCTGTAAAAGCTTCCGAGCAATGTTAAATTCTTGTTCTGCTAAATCCCAGAAAAGCTTCTTACGGTATAACTGACCTGAAGAGTGAAAACAACCAAAAAGAAAGTTGGTCAAAACAACCAACATTTCTTTGGATTTCAAACAAACGAATAAAATGAAGAATGCATGGCAAATACCTAGAGCACAATTGAAAGCAATCTGAAAATGTGGTAAAGAATGTAAAAATGAAAATCTTTTTCCAGTAAGGAAAAGTCTTTCCGCCTGAACGGCGTCTCCTATTTCTTCATGGAAAATCCCAACCTGAAAAAAAAAAATGAAATCTATGCAAATGTTATAAATGAAAGACAAAGAATAGAAAATTTTCATAATATGTAACATACCTGCAAAGTACTTTCAAGATAGCAACCAAGAATGATCCAAGGGCTAAGAGAACATTTTTCCATGTTAATTATGTCTCGCCAAACGTCACTGATAGCTGATCCAAGCAGCTCAAGGAAAAGATGATCATGTTCACCACTAGCTTCTACTGAAGATTCTGTAAGTTCTACAGGTCTCTTGCTGGACACGTTAAACTTTTTCCGTAAGACTTTATATCTTAAATGTAAAGCCTCTTTAGCATAAGAAAGCCCCTGCTACACAAATTATCTCTGTTAGATATGACAAATTTACCAATTTAATATTACTATTTTAATATTCAAAATTAAACTAGAAAAAACAATCGCTACACATTGTAGAACACTAAAAATAATAGCAAGTTATGAGAAAAATACGTTAGATGTCAATAGCAGTGAAGGTTGGCAGACAGAGGTAGAAATTTAACCATATTTAACTAAAATTGTATTGTCAAATGTGTTTGCAAAGATTACTTACTTCAAGTACTCTTCCACCTGCAAAAAGACTTTCAGCCAAATTGTAATAAATCTGTCCAGCAAAAAAGACCATTTCATTCTTTGCAGAAACCTGAAACCAAGATAAATACAGTGTTGCTAAGAAAGATCAACATATTATTCAAAAGCATCAAAGACACATAAGCTTTAAGTTTAGCAAAGAAACTGACATCTAAAAGAAGGGATGACACAGCAACTTTAACTCCCTCCACCGATAGTTTACAGCTATAAAGATCTTCAATTTGTTGAACGTTTTCTTCATTCAAAATAGAATCAGAAATTAAAAAATTTTGGACAAACATCAAGAGAAAGAATGAAGAACTCTTCAAACAATCTGTCCAGAAAGCAAAAGAGTTGATACTATTATCAGGGAGCTGCGAAATCCTTGAAATCAAATCTGGGTCAATTGGAGAAGGACATAAATAATGGCCTAGCCTTCTGCCTGTCCATAGCAAAGCCAAACATTTCTCCAATGATAAATTTTCGTATTTACAGAAGAAGTTGATCAAAGTATATATGTCAAAGTGAAACTTTAAAAAGCCCTGAAATATAACAAAAATAATTAGAAAAGAAAAACAAAAAGCGCTACAGAAAATTTGTCTTACTTGAACATTCAGACCTTTAAAGACAGCAGATCAAGGGTGCGGCACAATATGAATATTGTATTCTTTACACTTGGTTTGACTCCAGTAATCAAAGTATGATAAACACTGATGTCAAGTTCAGATAATAAATTGATTGCACATTGTATATCAGACTGAATTAACTGAAAGAATTACAACATGAATCAATGATATAACATAGTGTTAAAAACAGTAATTGACGTTTCAAATTGGAGATGATTTACGAATTTAAAATATAAAAATCTTACCTCCCAGTTCTTCTTACTCTCTTGAGTAAATTGTGCTCGCAGCAAGTATGCAGAGGCTAACTGATGATACCCTAAAGTTTTTGCTTTAAACGAATCATAAGTTGCATTCTCCTAAAACACGTAAGTTAAATTTAAACATTATGAACACATGAATAGATAAGCATATTGGAATGCTAACATAAGCATAAAAATAATAAGATGGCGATAAGCACCAAAAGAGAAATAGCTTCGCAAAGACAGTCAAAAGAGCTGCTTAAACTTTCTATCCCCCGAGTTCTGAGTACCAAACCCTTCCTCAAAAGTACCCTTGCTCTCTGCAGGTTGAAATCTCTAGCATTAAAAACATTCATCAAGAGAATTTCAATTACTTTTATCTCCATTTTATGGCAAAGTGCAGGGTTCCATGCTTCTAGTTGATCATATGCTAAAAGTTCCTGTAAATCCAGTATAGAATTAATTCAGAATGCTAATATAAGAAGTGAAAATCTCATGTCATTACAACAGTTTTATGAGACCATACCTGTTCAAGAATCTCTCCTAAAATGTTCTTTGGCCATGTTGGACAATGGCAAAGCAACATCGAATAAAGAACTGGAGCATCATCCACTTCATTGACATCACTAAAATCTTTGCACAACATCTGAAATTTAAAACTGTTAGGCAAGTTGATCAATAGGATTGATATAAGAGAAACTATGATATGTTAAAGAGTACCTTTATCCATTGTTTCGTCAATGGAAAACAGAGGGATGAGTTTGGGAAAGAGATTTCCACAACAGAAAGTTCATACATACTCTTACATACAACTTCATGAAAATTGGAGGCACCGAGCTTATGCAAAATATCTATTATTCTAAGACATTTGGTAACTGCATCTTTGATGACACCTTTTATTGAATCTCTGGATGCCGCAAAGCCTTGAATGCTTTTAGAATATGTCAACTGAGGCTGGCATAAAAGTTGTATGTGCTTCCATATTGTTTTGCAGCACAGTTCCAAAGCTTCTGAAGGCTAAGAAAAAAACAAATATAAACATGAAACAGCGAGGTAATGGAAGACTCAATCTTTTTATTAACAAGAAAACAACAAGGTTTATAATGCAGAGAATAAAGGGCTAAACAGACAGTAAAAACAAAATTTTCATGGAAATTTGTCAATAAAAATGCACGTTAAATGCCTGAAGATCAACAATTATGTTTTTGATAGAACATGCCCTCATAATTTGTAAAGTTTTTTGATGTAGCATAAAATTAGTTTCAATACCTTGGTTCTGTAGTGTGTCCAATACGTGAATGGTAAAACGTAGTTTTGTAGGATGTTTAATAGAAGTTCAGGAAACAGGTTTCGAACCGCGCAAATGCATACATTAAGTCCGTGCCATAGGTGCACCGCCAACCTGTATAAGGTCACTTTGGGAATCTTTCAGCCCAAATACTTAAACAAAAGGGGCATTTATATGCATAGCATGTAATTCTTCTATATTTACATATCTAACACCCAAATCTTCAAAATTATCCCCATACCATTCAATTCTTTCCTATCACATCAAAAATGTCATTAATTATCAATGTTCATAAGTCAAATCCACCCTTTCATGCATAGGGTAAAGCGATACACAAGTAAATATAGAAGTTTTGGAGTGAGATAGGCAAATACATAAGAAATATGTTTTACGTACGTAAATTTCCTTAAAAAAATATTCCAAAATTGACTCCCTTGATCACTCGATAAGAAGTTTCTGATCAGACAAGTTCTTACAAAGATCACTGAGCAAAAGATAAGAAATGATTTTGCCCCTAAATTTGTCACATATAACTTCTTAGGTTACATCAATTTCGAGCAATCCAATACAACAATTTAGTATGTTAAAGCAATTGTTCCACCAAAAAAAAAAATAAAAAACTTGCAAGCATATCACTAAATATTTAGATATTTATATAATTAACACCCTAACTTCAAATTTTACATAAATATGCAACCTTCTATATGCATAACAAAGTTTATTCAATTTTTAAAAGTTAAAATAGAGATATTTTTTATGTGATTTGACTGATTTAGGTGGTACTGTTGACCTCAATTTTTGTGAGGTCTAGTTTTTCTCGTAGGAGTTAGGATCTAAAATGTAAAAAGTAAAGTTTAGAATGTAGATATGTAAATACAAAGGAATTGGGTGGTGTGTGTGTAAATGCCCCCAAAAAAATCAATATGTGACCTATAGATTTCCCTTATGAGCATCTCAAAACTTAAGACTAACAAGATAAAAGAATCAAGCTCAATTATAATACGAAATACCTCAAAACAGAATATGAAAATCCATCATATTATGAAAGCACAAAAATTATACAAGTTTATTAAGAGGTTTCATATAGAACTGAGACAACCTAAAGACTTTTTAAAATATTATGAGGATTGAAATTGTTGAGAATTATATCAAGAAAATAATTCAATCAAAAGACCAGAATTAAGTGTCAAAAAATGGAATCTATAACTTGAACCTATAGAAGCCACCTCTCCAACCTTATTGTAAAATTAAAGTAAGATTAAGATTTTATTTAATAAAAATTTAACAATATAATCGTAATAGTTTATCGAAAATTAAGTTAAAAATTAGCAAATATTAATTATAACTTAATAACTAAAGTTATAATGCAAATAAATTAAATAAAGATTTATACATAAAGAGAACAAATATAATTAAATAATTTAACTAAAGTAATATGTTAACCATAATTTGAGAAATTATAATCAAAATGAAGTGATTAAATTAGATAAAGATATGCAAACCTAATTATATATTTGATATGAAATTAATAATATAAAGAATTCTATCATAGGAATCATAAATAGAAAACGAAGTAAAAAAAAGTAGAGAGAAAAAACAAGTTACATGTCATCAAAGTGAGTAATCATGTTTAAATTTATGGTGATTTTGTTATAACAACAACAAAGCCTTAATCCTACTACGTGGGGTCGGCTACATGAATCCTTTTTTCTCCATTGGGTTCTATGTAGTGTCATATTTTCATTTAGTTCTAGTAAATAAAGATTTAGTGCCATATTTTCATTTAGTTCTAGTAAATAAAGATTTAGTGTCATATTTTCATTTATGTTTAAATTTATGGTGATTTTGTTGTTTCCACTAAATTTAAAACATTAATGATTGTTATTCAATAAATTGTTACTGTAGGTTTCATTATGATTTACTCTTGTTATGAAATAGATTGATCGTATTGAAACAAATGACAAATTATTTGTTATGATTTACTTACTTATCATATGCATTATATAAAATTAATTATTAAAAAATAATGAATAATATGTATCATGTAAAAAAAATGATTTACATAATTTATTTATATATTGACTTGATTATGAAGTTCACGATTTTATGATACTAGCTGGGAAGATAAAGCTACATGTGCATGTAATTTAAAAATGAATATTAATATTAATATACATTAATGGATACAACTTTAGACAATGCTCCTATGACAAATATGTATATATGAAAAAATATTGATAAGAAAATATATTATGTTGTATTATAGAATAGTTTAACAACTCTTAAATACAGCAACAACTACAAACCTTTATCCTACTAAGTGGAGTCGGCTACATAAATCCTTTTTCACCATAGTGTCATTTTGAGTGTCATATTTTCATTTAAAATCTCTTGAATGATCGTTTTAATTATTTAAACCAGACAAATTATATACATATTTACAATTAAATAGCATCGTATTATTTCTATCTTCGCTATATTAATGTAATTTAGAGGCATGAATATTCACATAGTTATATTTATACTAAAAAATTTCAAGCATAAAATTTTGACTAAAATGAGTCAAAGAAAGGACAATATGTATAAAAAACATGGCCAACAAACAACAAAAAAAAAAAAAATTTTATATTTACATGTCTTACTTTCAATTAAATTTATTTTTTGTTGTTATTGTTTCTTTCGATTAGTTGGATGAATCTATTGATTAGTTAGTGATAGTATTGGAAACTGAAAATTTGAATTTATCGTCTAACCATTTGTTCCCACCTAAAAATTTCAAGCTCATTGGTTGGGTCGTGACAAATATCATTTTTGAAGCAGAGATAGGAAGAAAGAGAATAACTCGAGGCAATATAGATGTCCTTATTATATGATGCCTTGATAAAAGGTCATACAAGATATCCCCACCACCAAATTGTGGCCAATATTTGAGCCTTTGTATATGAACAAAGCTTTCAAACTTCATCAAGTCCCAATACACCCACAATATTGTGTCACTGTGAAGAGGTATACTATAAGCATGAGTAAAGCCAAACAATTAATACAAGGAGAATTGTCAAAATCCACAAGTTTATGACAAAGGATAAAGGCCACAACTAACATACATGGAAGACAATTCTTATTTAACCTCAAATGTGAAATTGGTCTCCACTCTCATATAATTTCATTGTTTTTCCCCTCACATGAGATTTATCTAAATTGAAAATCAACCCACACAAAATATTTTTAACACTAGGACTCATCATGTACCAAAAGCCCGCTTAACCATATAAAATTGTTAAGCAATCACCCAGTATTAAAACTTGCATAACAAGGGAAGAAGACACAAAGCCCAATTTTTGCAATTTAATCATTGACTCTAGTATAGCTTTGATATAAGAATGAATTGCAGAGCAAAATTTAAGCTTACACCTATCGGTGACATTGATTATAAGAGCGAAAATTGGTATGCTAAAATCTCAAGCTTTTAACAGCTTTTGTCAAAGGAAGACTATGCTCCCCTTTTATTCATTTCAGCAAGGATGAAAATATAGTAATAATTAAACCAAGACAGCATATTTAGAAAAAAAAAATTGTATGAAGGATAGAAAAATAACAAATGGCCATGTGTGAAAAGACTGTGGGAATGAACCCATCAATAATGCAAACAACCAAAACGGATAAGATTTTTATTACATCATTTATCCTCATAAATTGGCAAGTAAACTCAGCCTAAGGAATTGCACCTTTCTCGAGAAAAAAAATAAACCTAGCAGCATCCATACTGCACTTAATCATTTATATATTTCTGAAATTGCATTGATGGAAATGAGAATAGAGAAGATTAACACAAAATGTGTCCATAATAGATGGGAATCACTACTCAAGATTTTTGTAATTACTTGGAATGGAAGGTCAACACCGTAAGTGTATAACAGTGAAAATTGTGCTTATTTACAAGAAATTCCAATGAATTGTTATATTTGAAACAAGTAAGGTTTATTTCAAATAGAAGGGAAGCATTAAAACTCAAGAGATTTTTGACAGTGCAAGGCATTATGATTTGGTTAATAATAAAATTCAACTTGCTGTGTTGTTTTCATTTTTTTTAAGAATAAATTTAGACCACACAACTAGCTACATTGTTTAGATGATATACTGTCGGAATAAGGAGTCAACTTCATTATAGTTTTCGAGGATGTAAGACTTATAAGTTGATCCATCTTTAAGAGGATGCAAATTCATTCCCAAGGTATTGTGCTGTTGTTTTATAATTCTTACACTAAACTGGCTAGACTTCATGTGAAAAATATAAACAAAAGAGTAGGAGAGGGAAGTGCAAGGCAATGGAACAGTAGAATGAAAAAGAGAGGATGAAAAATATTGATCCACAAAGAAGTAGATAAAACATTATTAAATGTGCCAAATACAAACCTGTTGCATATTATCTGCCACTTCAAGTGACAATTCTGAATCATCTTTAACCTTCTCATTTAAATAGAATGCCTCGGTAAAATTTGATATAAAACCAAGCAATGAATCCACATATTTTGCCAAATCAACCTGCCAAAATCATTTGAAGAAGTAAATATATAGAAGATCTTAAACAATGGAAAAGATAGAATGCAAAGTGACAATATATGGATCCTACAAACTATATATATAAAACAGTAACCACAACAAAACAAATTGCACTTAGATCAAGCTAGTTAAAAGAAAGAAGATTTCAATGACCAGCATCATTTCATACCAAATTTCCCATCAATACTTATAAATGGAAGGTTGAACAACACAATAGGTCTTCTAAGTACAAGATTGGGTGCTAGTAGGTTTTAACTCATAAGAGCATAAACAAACTTGTGTTGCATAGAAAAATACATCATGCAGCCACTTCGTAAAATACAATTGCAATAGATGTTCAATTAGTAAAGTAGCAAAACAAAAAATGATCATATTTTTTTTTCATAAGAGAAACCTATCAATTATATCATCATGTTATAACTAAACCGGTTTATATAAGTCCTAACCAAATCAAAACAGCCCTCTAGTCCACATGAGTATCTAGATCAAACAAAGCCTTCACAAATCATTCGTATAGATTGTGCCATCCCCAACCACACCTGCTCTTCCAATCGAGAGAATACTGTAACTCTCCTGTCACCAACCACCTAAGGTTGGGATTTAAAGATCAAAGGCTAAGGCATTCTACTGTTGCCCTCATCTCAGCTGCCAAACCCTTCTCATCTTTCCCGCCCATTCCTCTTTCGTGCTTTAACAGAGAATTAAAAACAGATAAACATCTCCCTTGCCTCATTCCTCCTCCAATTGAGAACCGTCACCTTCCTTTCACAACTTCTTCCTCACTTGAGTTAACAAAAATATCAAGCTTTCTTATCTCCCTTACCATCTTTGCATTCCTTTCACGGCTTTTTGTTTCATCTTTGCAGTTTAAGTTAATATGCTTAGTTTTTTTCCTAAAAGTTATATTATATTAGTGTTAATTTTAATTAATTATGTGAAATTATTTTTGAAATTATAGATTTTATATTATCATTATGATGATCAACAGAGTTGAACATGGAATAACTTATATAGTCATAGTCAAACAAATTTTTAGCTAATTATTATTTCTTCATACCTATTTGTGTTTATTTAAGCAAGTGTAATTAATCACAAGTTTGTATTATGTAGAACATCCATCCGGTGCATTTTAATAGATCTTCATTGATTTTTGAGACTCTCATAACTCACTTAGGAAATGAGTAATCATAATCTATTAAGAAGTAAACACAGCATTCTCTGTTATGAGTGTTATTCTTATTATTGTATTGAATTTCTAAATAATTTATAATATTGATAGTCATGACTTTGTCATTCAATTACTTGCTAAGCATATCATATTTTTTATGTTCATAATGAAATCTTAAATTGCATAGATGAGTTTCTCTTGATTTATTGTTGCATAAATTTATGTATATTGAATTAATGCAGAAAGTTGCAATAATTATTTTTCACACATATTATCTCAGTTGAATGCAATAAATTTTAATCATGTTGTGAGGCAACGAGCGTTTTAATATATAAATAATACTAGTTATGCTAATTATTAAATAATATTGCTAATTTGCTCATTAACCATAAAATGTATCTTTGTATGCAATGGCATATAGGTCAGGAAAATCTTTTTTAAATTAGCTAGGCAGGCCAACATGTCTATAGAGTGACAACTCTATAAAAAACCATTGAATTTTTTTGCTAGAGTTTACCTTAACAAGCTTACGGTGTTTTCATAAAATCAACTATATCAATATGTAAACTAATATGCAATGTAATGATGAATGACTAATTAGTTACATTTAGAGATGTATGATTAAACCGGATATGGTTATATATGAAGATGTCAAAATAAAATTACATGTATTACAACTCATCAAACAAATAATCATGAACATCATCATATTTGAAGCCACTTTAAAACATGTTCATATTTATTGAAGTACTGCAAAATCATTGAAACACAATGATAAGTTAATAATATTTACTATCTACTAATATATATAGTAAATCATGTCTTTTATTATTCATGCTACATGCCACACCAACTTGTCGATAAAATTCAATAATTAATAATTACTAGTTGAGTTTTACTTATTTATAATTTTCTTTTAAAGAAGATTTAACATGTAGTTTAATGGATCATCAACATAGAATCAAATTTTCCAACTATAGAATATCATTTTGTATATATAAGCTTGTACAGTTCGGCTTTTACTTTTGTTGAATATAGAATAGTTTTACTTTTGAAAGTATTTCTTCAGTTTTTTTTCTATTAGATGTTATCGTGCTTCCTTAGAAAAATGATATTGTAAGTTTTATTATTCGAATGTGTTATTTATCCTCCTTACATGTTGTAATATATTATATTTATTGGTGTTTGTTTCTGAATACAAAATAAGGTTTTTTTGCAATCTTTTGGACGTGTCCAATATTGTCACCACCTTCCAAACTGCAAATGCAACACTATAAATGTGAAGTTTCTAAATATAACTCATTGTCATTGTATAAATGTTAATGAACAGAAATATAATAAATTCTTTAACCTAGCAAAAACAAATAAAAGTTCGTAAACAAGCATGGGTGCACCAGAAAAAAGCAACTAAATTCAAAATATTCAGCCTACGGAAGACATTTATAATTTTTCTAGTTTCACATAGGAGCTGTTATTACCAAATATTTGAAGAGTTCTCAACAGAATTGTTAAGAAAATTGGCAACATTGGCAACGATAGTAGCATCCTGAAGATGCTGCTTCATGTAAAAGAACAAATGAAGTGATTTCGAGGTCTTTTCCGTGCATGTTTGTAGGAAGCAATGGAGTGAAAATAAGATGCTCTCTAAAATTTCACAACTAAGAATTATAATCCAAATGAAATATTAATAAAATTATAAGAACAATTGTTCCACTCTGCAAAATCAGGCAAACATGAATTTTGAAAAAAAAACAAACATCTAACATTAATAATAAAATCAATCCCTCGCTATCTAATCCCATCATTTTTTTTTGTTATGAAATAATTTGGTAAAGAGAATAAAAAACAAGCAAATATCTACAACACCTAGTGGACATGATAGTATGACTATCACTTCCATCTTAACCATACAAATTTCAATTATATTTGCATCCCAATCAGCACTAGCTTAATAGAAGTTTTCCATTCCAAAAGAACAGCCAATATGGGTAGCTTACGTGACAATGGTTTGATTAAAAAAACATATCAAGCACTAATGAAGCCAATATAAAAATGTTCCTTCAAAAAGCAGGAAGAAATGGAGTGAGGTTGGCAAATCGAGCCCAAGGTTTGGTTCTGAGATGAACCGAAATTGACCTACCCGAATAGGTGTAACACAAACCCAGCCCATTTATTGAAAAAATAAAAAATCTTAACCTGAACCCAGCTAGTCTTCAAAAAGATTAAACCAAACATGATCTGAATGACCATTTGAACATGCATTTCAAGTCAAAATCAAGTCAAGTTTAGGTTAAATTTGGATTTATGAGTCAATATCATATTTGTGGGCCAATCTCTGATTTAAAGCCAAAATCAAGTCAATTTTGGGTTTGAAGAAAACACAAAACTGACACAAATATTTAATTAGTTACAAGTTAAGACCCAAGTCCGACCAGGAAGTTGATCATATCATATTGAACCCAACGTTTTTCAAGTCGAGTCCAAATTGAAATGTGGTATCGGTTCAATTATTGACACCTTTAATCAAGACAAAAAATTCATTGAGATTTCTCAGAATGTATGATGAAATACGCTAATTAGTCCACAAATTATTGACACATTTAATCAAGACAAATAATGAGATTGTAATTTGGAAGTGTTTCAAAAATTAATATCAAAACTGTTTATGCCCAAGTTAAATAGTATATAGTTAATTATATTATTTTGTTTCAAAGAGGTATTGATATTAAATGTTCCCGTATGCCACAACATTAGAAAAAGTCTTTTTTGTAATTCAAAAGTCTAGCAAAACTCAATGTGAAATAACTGAATGCGACTCTAACGAATAAAATAACTACAGATAAAATAAAATAAACTTAATGTTTCTACTTTTCATTATGATGTTTCATTAACTTGAATAAGAACAAAAATAAAATAAAATAAATTAAACTTGATCAGAGATAGAGGATCAAAACCAAACTTCAAGATAAGTTTCCTCAAGTAGTATAAAGTTCCATGACAATAAATTTTCCAGCAATAAACATCAGTAAATATCTTTGAAAAAACTACACTTACTTTCAGGAGGAGATAAAAGGTGGTGGATCTTACAGAATAAAAGTAGCTTCATAATATCAAAAAAACAAAAAAATGTAAAAGTGTGTGGAGGTATGTCAAGCGCATCAGAGAAAAATCAAAAGTTCTCTTCGCATGAGATATTTAAAACATACCATTTTCTCACAAAAGCTAATTTCCAAGCTCATTCTTAGCGTATCAACAACCAGAGAGGACTTTCTGTCCCATTTAACATCAATGGCAGAACAAATTCGATGAGCCATCTATATTTGAATCTCAATGTCAGCACATATCAAGGTAAATATTTAGCAATCTAGTGATCAAAACGATGCAGTCTGACAACAAAATGAAAGTATAGTTGACGTACACTAGGGAAGCGATCCAGCAATGGTGACTCCGTACACTCCTTTAGCATTTTTAGACATAAAGAATAAACTAGATCATCATCAAATGACTTGCGCTCTTCAACTACGAAAAGCGCGCATCTATAGAGAGCCTCGATAAAGATGGTGTGGCGTGATATCATAGAATTTGGCTCCATGATACTTGTAGAAAAAAATAGATAAAAACATAAAAAGAGGAATAATAATCACATCAAATCCAATAGAATTTAATCAACATGGAAGAGGAAAGTTGTGTTTACCTACCAAAGCCAAGACTGGGTTTGCTCTACTAGAGCCAATATTCTTTTAAAAACACCAACGTCCTTTGATTGACTCTTAAAAGCACAGTATGTGAGGACTATTACTACTTCAGTTATTAGACACGCAAGCTGAGGATCTGCCCCTGCTGA